AATAATTTCACTCCTTGACTAGCCAAGCCAGCAAAATCCTACACACCCAACCAGTGTGTGCATTTTCCCCTACATTTACACAACCTCCAGCTTGGAATGACCACTTACTTCTTATCAAGGCAGAATTATTTTTAATGTTCCTTATCAATATAAAAAGTTAAGTCAAAAGGATGTCACAGAAAGATAAGTGGCAAGGTATTAAAGGTTTCAGAGTGTAAGCTGAGTTACAGTTCTGCAGATCCTTCAGAACCAAAGGAACACTTAACCTGAGCTCAAACAAGGCAGCTAACTCTCTAGGGCATTTTGTCTAAACAAGTTCAGCCTTGTTTGCATTATGAGAAGGAACAAAAGGGCCTTCTCATCTTGGATTAGATACCACAAGACGGAACCCTAAGTAGTTCGTCAGTTTTCATACAAATTGGCAATTTCCAGACCAGACTTCCAAACCTTTTCACTCTAGCAATCAACTCTCCCGAAGTGACAGCTATGCTGCCTCATTTTCACTGATTCTTACCTCCAGTTAGCTAATTCAATTTTGCAAAATTAAAGGAAAGTCAATATATTCCCCTACAATTTCATATCAAAAGATACTCCTTATTCCTCATTTCATTGTCACACTTTATCTTGGAAGAAACCAATTACAAAATGAATAAAGCTGTCTCCATCTACTCTGCTCAGGATCATTGGTTGAACCTTCTAATAGTCACTCGTCATTAAGTGACTACAGAAATTAAGACCATCTAACTTTGTCACTTAAAAAACTGAGCACATGTGGGACGGGGTAGCTAAATCAAAAGCAGGAATATTGAAATGGTTTCTTTATCACCTGTTAATTTGAAGCTACTACATTAATGCAGCAACGCAACTCAAAAAAGAGAGAAGAGCTGTCAATCATAGTTTCTAATGGAAAGCTACTGACACTTCTTCACCTAACACAAACACTTAAATTTGTATTTAAAAATGAACATGCAATGAGTATATTCTCAGAGCAGTTACTTTTTGCAGGAGCCAAACACGCATAATTACAGAGTGTGCACACACACACACTTTCACTTCTCTCCCAATCTGCAGCTACTTGCATGAGCTGATGTTTAGGGCATTAAATACAGTCATTATTACAGCCTGCACTCTGGGTGCACACATGTGCAAACACACACGCAGTGAGGATGGTCAAAACGCAGACCAGTATCACACCGCTCAACATGAACAACGTGAATTAGACTATGAATGAATCACACCTGGCTATGATACATGTCACTATCACAATATTTCAGTACCGACACAACACCGACCCGCAGCACACCCTGTCCTTGCCCTCTCCAAAGCACAGACCAGACCACTTTACTACCACGCTATCCCACTTGGGAGGGGAGGAGCTGGCGGAAGGTTGGTGTCTGGCTTCCTCACCAGCAAGGTGTCAGAATTCACACGAGCACCACAATCCTCAGCGGCTCTGGGACCGGGGGACAGGAGACAGGCAAAGCAAGCTAAAACTGGAGGAGTGACTATCACTTGGGACTCCCAATGAGCAGAGGAATTAGTGATGAAAAGGTGTCCCACCTGCCACTACCTCAGCATTCCCAAAACACTTTACAGCGCTGTTGTACTGAAACAGCATCAGGGTAATGAAATACTCACATCCTACTGCCCACTGCTAACGCAAAATACTCCCAACTTCTGGAAGCAGCTTCACAGACAGCTGCAGAGCTCACTCAGCTGAACGAGACCGCTGATGTTCACAAAGCCATGTGTTTTACAGGACTTCCTGACTTCTGCACGATTACATCCTTGTAGGATGTGGGTCTTTACTGCCACTACAAAACTTGTAACAGCAAACACATTCTGACTCAAATGTGAAGTCCACATTCTATTAAATTCCAGACCAAAATGAAGTTAGGTAAAATAACTCAGTTTGTTTTACATTACTCAGATCTGTTTTTCCTAACTTAAAACTATTATCTGAAAACAACATTATCAGCAATTTTGGCCATTTCCCCTAATCCATCCAGAGCCTCTTTATGCTTAGGGCTGTAGCACTTTTTAGCATCAAACTCTTTCATGATGGGAAAATGACTATGAAGTATTGCTGTTGGGTACTTAGCGCTTATACCCTGCCTTACAACTTCAAAGCATTACACAAACATCAATAATTACCATATATAGAGTAAAACTGAAAGAAGTATTCATATTAAAAAGAAACTCACAGGAAAAAAAATCTTAACTACCTGTTTGAAGGGGGGAAAAAAGCTTAAGCAACAGAATCTTCTGTAATTATTGTGTTCTTTATGCTACACACGCGTTATGGCTGTGCACGTTCAAACAAACAAAAACTATACATTCTTGCACAGTCTTAAAAATAAATTATAAAGCTCAAAAGCCAAACCTCAACCCCTTTCATACATTTAAATTACGTTTCCTTCTCCTTTCCTCGAGGATTGAGAGCTAAGTGTTCTCCAGGTGTTCCCAGTAACAGTTTGGGAGGCAGGCCACCACGCTCCCAAGCCATACTACCAGAAAAAAGAGTTCTCATGGAGAAAAATCCAACTTCCCCCAAGAAAACTTAAGACAGCGACAGTGTACCAGCTCAGGTGGCCTTAGTAAATAATACAAAATGTTACCATTCCATTAGACCTTAAACAAAAGCAAAGGAAAAAAACACACTAGCGAAAGCAACAGAAAGTTTGTTTCGATCAATTACACCACCTATGCCTTAAGCACCATCACCAGTCCCTTTTTTCAATGAACAAGGGCAAAAAACCCTCCACAGCTCACCCATAAACACATACCAACTCACTTAAATTTAAGGACACAGACAGGAGCTTGCAGTCCAGTCCTCATCTGCAATGTATCCCGAAAAGCCCGTTAACACACGTGTCCAAAGGAAGGCCCCAAACCACACGTGAGCTTCACACGGACAAGCCTTTGGGTCAGTCAGAGCCAGGCAAGGGCACTGAACTGCCCCAAAGCCCAGGTACAACCAAACCCCAAACACCAATTTTGCATGTGGTGCCCTCGCTGCTAAAGGAGCACAAGTCACAACACCCAAAGGGGTAGAGACCACCAACAGCAAAGAACCTTGTTAATGCGCACAACGTGCTCGGACATTTATTTCAGCAGGAAAGGACAGCAAAGCGAGTCAGACCAGCCCACAACACTCTTTTTTTTGTATGCAACAAAGACCTGGCTCTCCTGATCATGCCTCCCATGCCTTAACAATAAGGAAGGAATATGTTTTGTGATCCCCTCCCCCATAAATCAGTTAGGAATTTGATTTACACAGACAGGAAAACGAGGAAGTCGAGCACACTGGAGAGTAGTAAAAACTTCACCAGCAAACTTCACTTTCCTACACGGCGACCTACAAACCAAACTTTCCTCCAGACTCACGTGTCATCTGCAGCAACCAGCCCCTGCCATAAAGCACAAAGTTTTGCTGTTCTGGGGATAAAGACAAGCGAGGAAGAGACTTTTATTCTGTCAAGCTGCCTTAAAAGGAAATTCGGTGATGAAAGATTAAATTCACCTGGAACAACACGATAAATTTTAACCCTTTCGAGGGTACAACAACAACAAGCCACCTATTTCAGGACTTAAATCCTCCACCAAGAAAACAGTACACATTGCAGCAACCGTGCGAGCCCCTCTAATTGATGCAACACACAATTTACACCAGGGTTTCGGACAGGGATAAGCCCTGGGACGGAGAGACGCTGTGAAATGGGAAAATAAAAGCTTATTTTATGCCCCGAAGGGGGCCCGCTCCCTGCCACCGCGGGTTATTGCATGTTGCAGCCCGAACTTAGCCGGAGAACTGATCAATAACTTGGCTCTGGGGGGAGAAACACGGGGAATGGCCCGGGGCTGGGGGTGTATCCCCATGTCAGGAACGGGCGGCTCGGGATGGGGGAGGACTCCGGGGAGTGGGGGAGGGGAAGGGCCTCCCCTCCCCCCATCCCGACCCGGCCCTGCCCCCCTTCCCCTCCCCCCCCATAAGTAAATATGCGGGAAGGGGGGAGGGGAAGCCGC